GAGGCCTGGTTTTCTGTGATACTGGACACTCGGTTTGCAATGACATGCTCAGCGCCTCTGAAAGATGTCACAAGTTTGACTCAAGAATGAAAGCAAGAAAATTATTTTATATATATATATATGAAGGTTGTTCTTTCTAGTATTTGTTTTCCTTTTCTGCCAGATGTCATTTTAAAAAGTAAACTGTGAAGAAGTCTTCAGAAAGAAGTTACTATAATTGCAGAGTATTGCTAGTAGAAGCTATCAGTCCCGTACAATGAGAAACTGATACAGATTTTGCAACTCAATAAATACCTAATGTCCATTGAATAATATTTAATGCAATGTTTACCTCAGCAATAACAAACTATGAGAAGTACAGCGTTTTACAGAACAGATACATTAGATGGTATTTGCGCAGTAGTTTTTCTTGCCCAAATACAGAAGCTGTTTTAAGTGAAAAACGTGCTATGAACAAGCCAACTCTTAAGGCTCATTTGTGTGAATGCATGAACCCGCTAAAAGACAAGATAAACGAACCTTGGTATCTTGAGCAGACAAGTAGTTGTACTGGGGTAACAAACGCATTTTAAACCCTGTAACATGCAACGCACTCGCGCGGATCAATACAAGCAACACTTAGTGTACAGAGCAGTTTGTGCCCGCTGTACCTAGCGCTGTGTGTACGCAGGATAGATTTCGGCACATTTTTACTCAAGGTGAACATGCATCCACATTTTCAGGAATAACTACATACATTTAAGGTTATCTGAAGGATGAAGCCCTGACCTGACGGCTGCGGTCAGAGGGATTTCGGCCATCAGCTTCGTGCGGTGAAGAAAGCGCACGCGGGATTTCGATTGCTATTTTCAGACTCGCCCTTTGCTTCTCACCCAAGCCTGTACTGCTCTGTACTTCGCCAATACTGCATCGCTCATTTCCCCCCCTTTTCCACAGTGTACCCATTCACCGCTCGTCCCGGAGGGGGTGAGGTTATCTACTCTGCTAGCAGCTCTGCCTTTGTGGCTGCCTCTCCTGTTGGTGCTGACTGCAGTCGCCTTCATTTCCCCCAATTCAGATCCCAGCAATGTCCTCCATGATAGAAACCAATGATGCGTCACATTAACTTAATGAGGTATTAATTACATTTAAGAATCAATTCCTTCTCCTCTACAAACAGCACTTCAGGAATTATAGTTTGTCTGTAGATACCATTTTTTTAACTTAAATATATATATATAAGGTGTAATAAATAACATTTTTTTAGAAGCGAGAAGGGAGATTAGATTTGTGAAGTTGTTGATGTTTCTCCTTGGTTTGCGCCGTCTCCTTGTGCCGAGTGAGTCAAAAACTGCCCTGTAGCTCCAATGTATAACCTGGAACGCATTGGCCACTTCTGCAAGAGAAGAGACAAGCACAGCGCTGAGACACACGGGAACTGTGCAGCCTGAATGCGGTTCTCAAAGCTTTAAACGATGGAACCACAATGTGAGAAAACAGGAAACTGTTATCGCCAGAAAGTCCCCATTTTGTTATCTGTTGGAAAATGTCATTAGAAGCTGGGTAAGGGAACCTCAGCCTGAGTATTTTCTTTGGTAATTAATCGTGAGGCACAGCTCCTAAACCCCCCGGGACCCAACGCACAGGAGTAAGTCATGCCGGTCAGTCATCGTGCCACAATTTGTATAGCAGATGCTCTGTTGGTAGAATAAAACAAAGCATTCCTCTTTACAGTGCCAGGGATGCTATGGGGACATACCAACGCCTGCAGAGACTGCAGCCCCGTGTGTGTACCCGTTCGTGCCGGCCGGCCCCCGCAACACCGACCACAGCACAGGGGCTGCTAGAGACTGCGTTAGAGGGAATTTAATGTAATTGCTCCTTGGCAGTCTTCGGCACTGACAGCTTCTTGTTCTTTGTCAGCTCCAACGGTTTCAGATGAGACAATTCATCTTTCCATTCACCGATTATTGGAATAATCGGTTGCATTGGTGTTACGTATCTGTTCTTATAGCTCAAGTTTCTTAACCCGAGCAAGTTAGTTACTGCAAACGGCCCTGCAGTGAGGGTGACTGCAGCTGCGTGCCCTTCTCTTGGAGGGAAGCATTCGGCTCCAGTCTGATGTGCCGAGTTCATTATTAGAGAGGTGGGTATTGGAAAAGACAACTTGTCATATGCATCTGATGCAAAAATACCTGAAACACAGCCAGCGTGTTGTTCCAAAAGAATACAGTTTTTTTAAGGCGCTTTGGGGAACAGGCTGGCAACCTTTCTGGTGTGTAATGAAAGGGAGCTTGAAAACCAGAGGGGCTTAATACTGCAGTTAAACCTCAGCTCTTCTATTTAAAGACACAGAGGAGCAGCATATTCTCAGTTGGAAAGACTGTGCGACCTCATTCAGTATTTTTATTTCAAGAGTAACGTTACAAATTCATTGCCAATAAGACATCTGCATTTAAAGTCATCAACCGTATTTTTTGTTCGGTGTAAACACAACCATACTTGGATATTTTACTTTCCTCACTATTTGTATTTACTGTGCTTGATATACGAGTGTAGTTACAGTCCTCATCTGTACTAGTCGTCTCATATCCTGCACTTCAGGGGTTTTTTTGAAGCATGTACTATGATTTGTCTGTGACAAATGTTCTAGTGCCAACTAAAAAATTAATTTACTACCAGGAATATTAGAAAGATTGGTTAGACTCAGAATCGTTACAAAACTAAATACGGGTAAATGGCACATAAATAAGATTATCAAAAATAACTGCTAGATGAACCCAGTACTGCTGTATTCCAGTAGCCTGGGAAATGTGCATCTGGATCATTTAACTGCTGTAATAACTATTTAAAAGTATTTTTCTGCCAGTAATAGTTGGCAGCTGATAAAAAGTACTGTAAAAGACCTGTGTCCTTTCACTCTGACCAAGGGAACTAACAGAAGCTACTTCAAACTTATGTTGAAATACATCACTATTTTTTTTCCTTAAAATTATAGCCATCTTTAATTGATGTAAAGGTTTTGCTTTCTTAATGAGCCTGCTAATCATTTAAACAGCCTCAGAAGCCTACGTTCACATCACGCTTTTTACAGCGACCAACACTGTGAATAAGAAACACTCTGTGAATTAGTCACTTTATAGGAATTAGAGATTACTTCACAAATTAATCTTAATTAAATCATTCTGAATTCACCAGACTTTAAGAAGAAACACACCAGTGCTCTAACTCGCTCCCTGAGACCAGAGCCAAAGAAAATACCCCGCGGTATTTAAGAGTCCCGTCAGTGACTGAGCAATACATGTGAAACCAGTTTCCAGCCCCAGGTCCCCTCCAAGAGCAGTTCCCCTTTCTCATCCCCTCTGCATCGCCGTGAATTTTTTTGACGAAGGGAAAAGCAACAACAGCGTATACCAACTAGATGAAATAAGTGCATCAGAAAAGCACTTTCATAGAAGGAATTAACACGTGGCCAGTAATTAATGCCACCTCCCATACCTTGGCTGCCTCAGCAGGAGAACCAAAGCAGGCCCAGCCATGGCTGGGGTCGTCGCTGTGGGACAGCGCGTCACCTCAACCACACACATCCCCTACAGCCGGTTCTGATGGGTTTGGTGGGGATCGCCAAGGTTTCCAGGCGGGGACCAAGGAGGTGCTGGTACTCCTCTGGTGCTGCCCTCCGCCTTCACTTCCACGGGACCAAGTCCCACTAGGTTTGGACCTACACCGTATTTGATATTTTTGTGCACAGTCCCTGAAGCTAGAGGGACGAAGCTCCGGGACGTTTCCATCAGGCCCCTAGCACCTAGATGCAATGGTTAGTCTAGGCAGTCTTTTCATCTATTAACTCTGGCAAGGTAAATAAGCTTGAAATCTCTAGATTCATCTAAGTATCTTTAACACCTATTTACTTCTTCACCGAGAGAAGGCGGTAGCTGCTCCTCAGCTCTCCTACCTTGACAGGGTGGAGGTATCCATCCCCTCGAAGGGTACCCAAGCCCTCTCCCGGTGACTCTTCCTCATCCTGAAGGCTGCGAGTGAGGTGTGCGATATAGGTGGTGGCCAGGAGGAGTACATCCAGCTTGGAGAGCTTGGTGTCGGGCGGCACAGAGGGAAGAGTCTTCTGCAGCTCGAGGAAGGCATGGCGCAGGGTTTGAACCCGACTGCGCTCTCGAGCGGCATTAGTGGCGGCAGGTCTGCCAGGAGGTGGCCCAGCCCGCTGCCCAGCCGCCGAGGACGGGCAGGAATTGCTGCCGGCAGCAGAAGGCAGCAGGGAATCGGGCTCTGCGCCCAGGCCGGAGATCTCCTCGCTGCTCTCAGCTAAGTGTCCACAGTCCATTGGTGACTTCCCCGGCAGGGAGGGTCCTGCAACCAAACAAGAGCATCTCTAAAGCCAGCCACTATGCTGTGCTGAAGCGAATGCTTTCTAAACACAAAGATTATCAGAAATGCAAGTGCTGCCCGTGCCAGGAAAAGCCAGGATGCCGCTGTGCAGCTGGGTGAGCTGCTTCTCCACTCGCTGCTTATAGATTTGATGTCACACACAGGTACAGAAACAGAAGTTAAACTCTTCAAAGATGTAATTTTTTTGGGGGACAGTATTACACAGAGCAATTTCTTTGAATCACTCGTAGCCCAAAGATCACCCGACTCTTCTGACAAAACCCAACAGGCAACGCTGAGCAGCACTGCCACAGTGGTTTCCATTTACAACCAACTAAAAATTAGGCTAAATGATTTTTTTTTTTTTAATAAACACATTATTTGTATAATTTGGCACATGGAACTGTGTGTATATTTTCTATTTACCTGCCATCATTTTATCGACGGTCTTTTAAGTGATCAGTGCTCCTTGGATTACAGAAAGAAGAATACCATTTTCAGATGCAGCGCTGAATGGAGCCGCAGAGCATAGTACGAGTTTTTGAAGGATGAAGCTCGGTCCACGATTTTAAAGGATCAGGAACTGACTTCTGTCCTCCCACCCCTAACGCTACTCAGGAATTTCCGTGCTTATCCCATAGCTTCTATGTTTTCAAACATCAAAAGCATCTTGTAAACTGGATTTTGGCCATTGGGGGGCAAAAGAAGCCTTTGAAAGCAACAGCAAAAAGCTCCTTTTGCACAAAGCTGAAAATAATGACTGCAAGGTCTTCTCCCAACTTTCAGAAAAGACAGTCAGTCAGCTCTGCCTGCAATAAAACTCACAGTCCTTTCATTCATTCATTCATTCAGTAAAATGCAATTCAATCAATATTCCCCAAAGCGCAGCACTTCTTAGCTAAAATAATACCTGATCCTGTTGTCCTCAGTCAAGCAGCCCTTCTAGACGTCTCAGAGCCGGCTTTCACGTGTTGGGAGCAGCTGTTTCAGTGATGGCCCAGCTAGACAACAAGGGTAAGAACAAGTTCTTAAAACTTTTAATTTCATTCAAACACTATGCAATTTTAAAAATTTAAATAAAATTGATGCACGTAAATGACTGAAGATCTACGTTTACAAAAGTCAGGCCTTGATTTTGCAAAGCATTTCAGGCACAACGCTGAAGTCCCACTGATGTCCCTGTGTAATTGCAGCTGATAACAGCAAAAACCCCAAGACAATGAGCCAAGTCAAGGATTTACAGCAAAGAAGAGGAAAGGTTTCTAAATAATCTTTTTTGCAATGCTCAAATTTGATGGTTTTAGAAGACCTTTTTTTTGGTGTTTTATTGTGATTAACTTGCTGTTAATCTGACTCGCAGAGTTTTATCAGATAACGTTCTCTTAAATAGCAGTACAGCTTAGACTGAAATTATTTGTGAAATACTGCGTGTATTATAACCGTAAACCAAAGGAAAAAAATCTCATTATTCTTGTTTATTGTGATAATTATGACCTATATAAAATAAAACTCACATTAAGTCTACGTGAGCTTGTCTTGAGTGAGGGCTGAAAAACAGTCCTTAAATTGGCTATTTCCTTTAACTTAAAATAAAAAAAAGTCCCATGTGCTTTTTTTCTTGGTATTTTCTCAAGAAAAAAAGCACATGTGCTTTTTTTCTTGGTATTTTCTTGCTGTGTTAAGTCACAGTCGGATCTAGATGCATTTTAGTGGCAAAGAAAAAAGTCACCTCTATTGCCACTGCAGAGTCGATACAATCATGAAATACGGCAGAAGAGCCTGGTGTTTCAGGTTTATCAGCAGGATTTCTCATTTGCCGTCCCATCGAAATCCCACTGAAACGAAGAAGCCTTCCCCGATTACTGGAAAAGTCCGAATTACACAAGGATGCAGGCAGACCCGGTTAGTATAAATACCTGCTCATCCACCGAAACACAGGACCGAGGCCGGTTTACGCACAGTTTTGATTTTGCTGTGTTGGTGTATAACCAAATTTAGCACTAGAATGACTTTGCGTGACATACAGTACATAGAAATGCACGTACCTACAAACCTCATTTCCTTGGGCGCCGCTTGAAGTAGAAGTTTGTTTTAGGAGCTGCACATCTACATCGGATGAAATCCTGGGCCTACGGAGAAAAAAAGGCAAAGTTTCAGCTGTGGAAGTGAGAGATTTCCCTCTGAATTAAATTTCTTCACTGCCAGATTTCCCATCGCGCACATACAGCAAACGGCCCGCGAAAATCTGCTACACAGAAACACAGGATCTACTACTGTAGGTGCGCGCACGTGTGCGGCCAAGACACTGTGGCTCCTGAGCCAAGGTCGCGTTTGCCACGCACCGGGCCCGGGCAGCGTCACTCTTCACACGGGTGCCATCAGGGTGCACCCTCCGGGTGCTGCTCTCCCTGTAAACCGAGGAGTCGCCCAAACCTCCCGGTCCGAAGGACCGTTGCTGAAAACTAAAGTCAGTAAAATGCCTCTGGGCAACAGCCAGGTTCCATGTAATCTCCTTTAAAATTTTACAAGAAAGAGGTTTGGTTTTTTTAAGGTAATTGCGGTAATCTTTGCAAACACCCACCTGCTGCCTGGCGTGCGGAGAGACCTGGAAATGGGGGTGTGAGAGGAAGGCAAAGTATTTACATTATTTCTAAAGCATTTCTATTGCAGTATTTCTAATGCGGGCAGATGCATTCCTGCTTTCACACGACGTTACAAAGGCGTAATCGGTTTGAAATCGAGTTAGTTTACCACAGAAAACAGCACAACACTTATTTCAGTCCTATATTCCGTGTGAATGAAACGGTGATGAAGGCAACCTGCCCACATGGAGAAGGAAAAGATCGAAAACGCCAGAGCAGAGTACGCAAACTGAAAAGAAATAGGTGGAAACCTTAGATAAAACTTGTTCGCAGCCTTCTCACTTGTTCCTTGGGGGGAAAAAGCGTAGTGAACCTGTATTATTTTGCATCGTTTTTAAGAAGACCTTGCCCTTTGCGTAACTCCGATAACAGTTAACGAAAATACCTGCTCTGGAGCAGCGATACAGGAACTCGCCTGTTCGTGCGCGAAGGCAGCACAGGCGCTAACCCGCACCGCCCGCCCGGG